CGTTACCACTGCAAAAACTGCGACAAGATCCGCTTAATATATCTGGCATAAATTGCGGCTTGTCCAAGGAGACTACTTAACTGAGTCACCAAGATATGAAAGGTGTAAAACTTGGCCAGAAAGATAGCATATCAAATGAATCATAAACTCTCTACAGTCACATTCATCTTTTCGAAATAATATTCTTCAATTAATTGGCCTTTTAACCTCGCCAGCCAACTTGGTTCCAAAGTCGGTTCATTTCATTAATTATCCAATCGACATTCATTACAACTAAACAAACTCTCCTCGCCACAATTATCACTCTGCTTAGGTATATATATAAAAAAAGAGGGAATAGATTGCACGATATGACCAACCAAGAACTTTTATATATAACTCATGATAAAAAATGGCTTACAAGTATTCTAACAAGTCATTTTTACAAGTATTTATACAAGAAAAAAGAAAAGAAACTAGAGGACTGTTTGGTTTCATGTAAAATAGGTGTAAAGTGAAATAAATGCAGGACTGGATGAACAAGTAAAAGACAATGAAGAAGAGTTGCCCAATTTTGATAACTTGTCGAACTAAGAAAAACAATATAATTCAATTATTCATGCAGTTGTCACTATGGCAGTGAGTAGTATATGTTTATTATTAGATAAGACGAAAAGTTAAAGAAGGAATTATAATCTTGAACGAGATATCCAACGTTAAATATATCTCTCTACTTTATATCTTGATTCTGATTTTGATTGTGTAAACATGGTGCAAATGAGAAAAGAAATTTTTTTCAAGTTGTGCAACTTACTGCGAATAAAAAAAATGTTTGTCGATATAAGTTATATGTGCATGGAAGAACATGTTACTATGTTTCTACATACGCTTGGTCACAATGTGCGTAATCGAGTCATACAATTCAGCTTTCAAAGATCAAGAGAAACTATTAGTAGGTACTTCAACAATCTATTATATGTCATTGGAGAGATACAACTTTAGATTTATGCCCTTTTTAAGGTACATTCACAAATAACACTTTATGTTACATTTTTTTATACCATTTTTTTTAAATAATTACATGAACAGGATTGTGTTGGCGCCATAGACGGTACACACATTAAGACGAAAATACTGAAGAAATATGAATCTGTCTTCAAAGGCAGAAAACCATATGCACGTCAAAATTGTCCTAGCAGCACTGTACTTTGACTAAAGGTTTGCATGTTTAAGCAGGTTGAAAAGGTTCAACCCATGATGCAATCATCTTTAAGAATGCATTAGAATGACTTGATGGTTTACGTGTTCCAAAGGGTATATAAATAAAGTTCATGTTAAATATCATAAATAATTAATTTTTTTAATTAATATAAATTATTAATTATTGCAGGAAAATACAACTTAAGTGATGGTAGTTACTCAACCCAAAAAAGTTTTATCTCTCCATATCGTGCAACAATATATAACTTAAATGAGTTTAGTGACATTACACCAACAAATTATAAGGAGTTATTTAATCTTCGACGCTCATCTCTACAAACAACTGTGAAGCAGTCTTTTGGTTCGTTGAAGAATTGATTTATAATTTTCAAGAGCGAGCCGTATTTTCCATTAGAATGCGAAGTTGACATTGTAGTTGTTTGTTGCATATTACATAATTGGATACTCACTGAAGGTGGAGATAATTTTATTATCTCATAAGATGAATGGGTCAGACGAGGTTGTGTTAGAAGATGATATGACCACATTTTAGATGACTCGCAAGAGTGACTAAAAAAAAAGATTAGATACTTGCTGCCATGTGGAATCGCATAAATATTATTGGCTATTAGTTGAAATGTTATTTACTTTTGTTTTTTAAATTATAATAGTGTCACTTTTGGACTTTGAACGTTTTAAATTTCAAAAAATAATTTATTTTTATGAATAGATTTGTTCTTTTTTATTCGTTATATGTTTTCTTTGTCAGTAACTATCTTTTCTTAAGTTATGTATTTATTGTGCGTAGTTTATTATTGACACAAATTATGGATACACAACAATCAACCACTCCAGCTGTTTCGAAGAATAAGAAAAAAAACAATCATGTGGAACTTAAAGGCAGAGTGGGTCACCAGTTTTTTACAAATTATGATAGAATATGTTGATTTCAATATGCGAAGTGCCCAAGAATTTAAAGAGTTCGTTTACCAAGGAGTAGCTCAAAAGCTAAAAGAGAAATTTGGAATTGAAGTCACAGGGGAGCAATGTAAGAACCAAATTCGACACTAGAGGACTTTATGAATTCGTATTCAAGAACTCAAGATAAAATCCGACATGTCTTCAAATGAAAATAAAAAAAAGATTATATTAATGGGTCCTGAGGAATACATATCACATATTCAAGTATTACTTTTACTAAAGTATTTTATTAAAAAAATTGAGAATTAAATAAATTCTCTGATTTATGCTTAATGTGTCAGAGGCTTTTTCCTAGAGATGCAACGCTTCTGAATGTTCTCATTGCAAATTATATAGAGTTGGAGAAGGTATGCAGTGAAGGTCATGCCACTGGAGATTGGTCTAAGTCTGAAAATAGTTAAACTCCTCTTGGTATCCAACAAATAAATTTGGATGATGACAAGATTGAAGCTTTTAGAGAAACTGGAGGAGATGCATCGCTTCTCATGTAGTTGCCTGAAGTGGAAGTAGAAGAATGAAGTAAAACAAAAAGATGAAATGAGATATGCCATCTTCCTCAAAAGGTGGGTTGTGGCTAAAAAAAAAAGCAAAGCAATTCTAATGATGATCGCAGCATTCATGACTACATTGCTATGATGGCCAATAATGTCAGCAAAGTTGGCAGCACTATAAAAAGTACAGCAAGAGCCTCAAAAGATAGAAAATTGTTCACCGAGTTAATGACAGAGTTGTCAAATATTTCAAGATTCTTAGAGGAAGAAACTAACATTATTTTTGCTAAATTATCAAAAGGCATACCAATGATTCATGCTTTTCTCTCGAAGTTGATATTATGATTCATAGAAAGATAAATATCTTATGTAATCAAGAAACAAAATGAGTTAGAGAAAAGGCTAAAAAGATTGATAACTTAGGTCTTAAACTTTGGTATTCAGGTAAGAGTTGCACGAGAAATGGTGCAAGTGTAATTATAGATAAGAGTTTGAAAGATAATGTTGTAAAAATTAATACAGTTGGAGATAAAATTCTAGTCATTAAGATTATTGTTGGTACTATGATTTTTAATATTATAAGTGTTTATGCTACTCAAATAAGTTTAGAGATAGGTTCTAAAGATAAATTCTGGAATAACTTAGAAGACTTTATACAAATGATAGCTCTAGAAGAAAAAAATTTTATTGGAGGAGATTTAAATGGACATGCCGGTGAAGTTGTAGAAGGTTTTAAAATATTCATGGTGACTACTGTTTTGGAGTGATTAATGAAGAAAGTAGAGCTATATTATATTTTGTTTTTAATTTTTATTTAAAAAAATAAATGAATATATTATTACTTATATGAATGGATCTAACAAAACATAAATTGATTATTTTCTTATGAGAAGAAGGGATCGTCGAGAATGTAAAAATTGTAACGTCATTTCAAATGAGGATTTAAGTACTCAACATTGATTATTAGTTCTAGATTTTAAGATGAAGATGTAAAATAAAGAATAATAGGAATCAACATCGTAAAATAAGACGAGGGTACCTAAAAGACAAATAAAATTATTTTTATGAGTAAATTTCAATATTTCAAAATTTGAGATTTTTATGAAGAAGCAAATTCTATGTGGGATAAAGTAACAAACACTATTAAACAAGTGACAAAAGTTATATTTGGAGAATCAAAAGAAAAAAGTTTTATAAATAAAAATAGTTAATAGTGGAACAATAATGTGCAAGAAAAGATAAAATATAAGAAGTTATGTTGTAAAAATTGATTTAAATATAAAAGTTTAGAAAACTGGAAAAAATATCAAACGGCTGGTAGGAATCTAAGAGAAAAATCTGTGACGCTAAAATTTCTGTTTTTAATGAACTTTATAATATATTAGATACTAAAAAGTATGAAAAATGTATTTATAACCTAGCCAAACAAAGAGAAAAAAAAGTCAATATTTAACTCAAGTAAAATATATTATTAAAGATAAAAATCAAAAAATACTTTACTTAAAAAAAATATATTCAAAATAGGTGGGTGAGTTATTCTGATAAACTTTTTAATGAAATTTTGGAAAATACGATCGATCTTGGTGACCTTAATATCGTTAATAATAATAAAATGTTTCATTTTTACAGTTGCATTAGTAAAAATGAAGTTGATTCTTTAAAGAAAACAAAGGGTGGAATGCCTGTATCTCAATTGAAGTGTGAACAATTGAAGTGTGAAAATATTTAGGAGATTTGGGGCTTTCTTGGTTTATTAAACTCTTTAATATTATTTTAAAAACTGAAAAGATGCCAAAGGAGTGGAGGAAGAGTATTTTGGTCCCATTTTTAAGAATAAAGGGAATTTCTTTGCTTACTAAACTCTTCAACTTTCCTTTCCATACCCAACCTCCTCTTTCCTTTTCACACACTCCTCAATCAATTCATGATACCTTCTTCTCCACTACAAAAAGATTCCAATTGCTGCACAAGTTTCCAACACTCAAGCGTCATTTAAGGAAAATGAAATGAACCTAAATCCAGACACTCTAAATTTTGGTAAGATAACCCCTGAACGTGATTACGTGAGAACCTACGTAGTGTAGATAAAAGAGATGTTAAGGCTTCCCTAGGAAATTATGAGTTATTGTTGCATTATTTTGCACAAAAAAAAAGCCAAATTGCTATCAGACAATAACAAGCTGCTTCACAAATGTGTTTCTAACGAACATAAAACCATAAAAAAGTGCACCTAAAGAATATCACTTACCTCCAAACAATTTCAGTCCGAATCAAAAAACTAATAAACATCAAGCATTCAAAATCCGAAGCTGCTAAAAAGAATTCACAAACAAATCCAAGTAAACCTACTGGTCACGAGAAGAGGGACGGCTGCAACCCTCCCAAGCGTAAGCACCGTTGGCAGCGTAAGTAACCTCGAATAAGAAATTCTTTGTTCCTGCTGCAACAGCTGATTATATCCCCCATCCATATCCTCACCCACTTCATTGGTCCCGCACCGATGATGAAGACGAGAATCCATCTCCTGTCCTCTTCCTCCCCTCCTTCCATCCTCCGTTACTCCTCCATCCGCCCATTTTCCCTCGCCCGCCTCGAAGCTCGAGCCACTAGAACAGATCCCGGCCGACCAGCTTCCTCCCGTTGATCGCACTGCGCCGTTACGTTCAGCTCTACGCCTATACATGGCGAAGGTTATTGGGGAAGTAGGCAGGGCGATGCGTCGGAAACCAGCATCGGCCGCTCTGCGCACGGATCTGTGAAGAAAATGAGAGGGATCGTTTTTAGGGTGGAGAAAGGGAGAGGATATAGCGCGGAAAACGGCGGCGGAGAGGTGGGAAGGCATTGTTTTTGCATATAACCGAAAGGACCGCTAGGTGTTCGACGATTTGGCGCTGACATGAGATAAAAAAAGCCATGCCCTAATTAATAGTTGCACGTTGGAAACATAGGAAAGTTGACCCAAGTTAAAAAATATATATTTATATTATTTTTCAAAAAATAATGAAGAATTTGCATTAAATAAAAATCATGAATACTAAAAATAAATTATAAGAATTTTTTATATGAATATATAAAAATAGGCCTTTTGTTCTATTTTGTAACCTGTCCCCTTTTAATGAAGGAATATATAAATTTTATAAGAAAATGGTGGTCCTTATTTTGATATATTAGATTGTAAAGATTATAGACATTCTTTTCTTTTAAATAAATATAAAATGTTATGTAGTCATTTTAGGATGTTGTGTTGTTTCGTGAGTTAATACAATATGGGAGAAATATGTATAACAAAGGTGAAAGAAGAGAATGGATATAATCTCGAGTTTTGATCTAACAAGAGAGAAAGAATGAGAGAGAAAGTCAAATATATTAAAAAATTTGTAGTGTGAGATCCCTCAAAAAAAGGCCTAGAAGAAAGAGAGAGAGAGAAATAGAATTAATCGATTGATGCATCAACCACTCAGATCTCTCCCTCTATTTATACATGTTCGAGGAAAATATTAAAATATGAGTCGTCTATGCAAAGATTGCAACGTGGATATTTGGTTGTTCTTAAATGAGGATATGACATATATCAATATGTGATGTTAGTCTTGACTTTTTCAATATGCATATTCTGAGGATCATCGGAGATGCGAGCTTCGTGGATGAGTCCAATTGATTAGCCTGTTAGGCCAGTCCATTGGTGATGTCCGACAGGTATTTCGACAATTAGTACGAGACAGATGAAATATTGACGAGTAACATAAATGAGCCACCTTAGCCAATCATTGCAGTGGGGATTGTCTCATCAAAGTTGATGGGCTTATCAAACCAATGAAACATTCTAGATGTGTGCTTTAACCCAAAAAAGCTTTTTTTGGTATACATGTTCCAATTTTAAATTTAAAAGAAGTGTGATTTTTTCAATATTAGGAAAACATTACTTCAAATTTTGTTTTTATTTTATTTAAGTAGACAATGCAATAAGTAGGAACTACATGATGATTTGTTTTTTTAAGCTTTTTTTATTTTTCCACAAAAGATTAAAAACTCAAAAACACGGAGAAATCACTATTTCTTAAATTAAAGAAAAAACAATGTTAGATGAAGTAACCTTTTTGTTGAGAAATTAGGGCGAAAAAAAAAACAAGAATCGACTCAAATCCAGAAGAACACAAAGAGATTTAACGAGGTTTGACAAATATGCTTACGTCATCGGGAGCACAAAGGTGAATTCCTTTCAATATTCAGAAAAGATATTACAAAATCTTGGGATAAAACCGGGTTACATACAAGTCTATTTATAAACCTAGAAAGATCAGGAAAAGAAACCTTGGGTACAATATGTAATTACCAAATTACCCCTGTGCCACACCCCCAACCCACATAAGAAAACTCCCCTGATTTGGACAGAATCTTCCGTTCTGCTCCGCTCCAGCATCTGTCTCTTTATAGTATATGAGTCATATCTAACAAATCTCCACCTTGGTGAATATTCATTCCCTTAGGAGAAATACATTATGGAGTTTCTTACATACCAGAAGTGGGTTGGGCCACCATGCATCTCTAGCAACTGCAAACATTCAACAAGTCCAAGCAATGCAAGAACTTGTTGATAGTAACTAGTTTGGTCAACATATCAGTTGCATTTTCATCAGTATGAACCTTTTGCAACAGTATCTCACCAGAAACAATCAATTCTCTGATCTTGTGATACCTGACATCATTGTGCTTGGTTCTCGCATGGTACACCTGGTTCTTAGCCAGTTAAATAACACTATGACTGTCATAATGCAACTAAACTCCACATTGCTCAACGCCCAGTTCCTTTACTAGCCAAACAAGCCATAATACCTCTTTTGCAGATTCAGCTACTAACATGTACTCAATTTCAGTTGTAGATAATTCCACAATAGACTGAATTATAGACTGAATTGTTGATTTCCAGATTTCCAACATATAGGCCCCCCACCAAGAGTAAACACATACCAAGTTGTAGACTTTCTGCCATCCAAATCACCAACATATTCAGAATCAACGTACCCCACAACTGAAGGATCATCCTGCTGACTGCCAAACATCTGAAGGATCATCCTGCTGACTGCCAAAAATAATTCCATGTCCTGCAGTACGCTTCAGATACCTGAAAATCTACTTGACTGCTTCCCAATGTTGCCTTCCAGGTTTACACATGTATTTGCAAACTTGACTAATAGCATGAGCCAAATCAGGACGAGTACATATCATTACATACATCAAGCAGCCAACTGCATTAGCATATGGAACATTTGTCATGTCTTTGATTTTTGTATCTGTCTTAGGACACTGTTCTGAGGAAAGCTTAAAATGATTTGCCAATGGGATGCTCACAAGCTTTGTTTTGCTCATCTCAAACTTGTCCAACACTTTCTGAACATAGCCTCGTTGAGGTAAACATAATCGTCTTGAGTCTCTGTTTGGATGAATCTCCATTCCAAGAATCTTCTTCGTAGGACCCAAGTCTTTCATTTCAATTTTTTTGCTCAATAAAGCTTTCAAACCACGGATATCATTCATATTCTTTGCAGCAATCAGTATATCATCAACATACAGATACAGTAATATACAGTAATAGAAAAATAATAGAACGATCATCAAAACTCTTCACATAAACACAACAATCATATTCACATCTTTTGTAATTGATTTAAATCATGTAGGAGTCAAACCTCTTGTACCATTGTCTTGGAGACTGTTTCAACCCATACAATGATTTCCTTAACCTGCAAACCAGATGCTCTTGTCCAGGTTGAGTGAACCCTTCTAGCTGCTCCATGTAAATCTGCTCCTCCAGATCACCATGCAAGAAAGTTGTTTTAACATCCATTTGCTCTAAATGCAAATCTCAAATAGCTACTAATGCAAGCACTGCACTGATTGAAGTATGTTTGACCACAGAAGAAAATGTTTCATCATAATCTATCCCCTTCTGCTGTGAAAATCCCTTTGCTACCAGTCGAGCCTTGAACTTTTCCCTTTTTTTTGATACTGTTGGTTTCCTTTTGTAAACCCACTTGCAACCAATAGTCTTCTTTCCCTCATGAAGCTGAACTAGCTCCCATGTGCGATTTTTCTGCAAAGACTCCATCTCCTCAGCCATTGCACCCATCCATTTCTCTTTCTCTTGGCTAGTGATAGCCCCTTAAAAAGTGGTTGGATCATCGTTGCTGATGAGAAATGCACAAGAGACCAAAACTTCTTAACCCAATCCGCTAGGAAGTCTTATATTGGTGTGTCTCTGTCTGTCTCCGGCTAAATTATAATTCTGCAGATCATCTGGAATGGAATCACCAGGTGTTAGATTTGAACCTTCAACTCTCTCAGTTGTTTATGGATACTGTTCAAAATCCATATGCACTGCATCTGAACTGGAACTGTTCCCTTACACCTTGTCTTGACTCTGCTGTAATATGGATTGTTCATCAAAAACTGCATCTCTGCTGATCACCATCTTCTTTGAAATCAGATCCCAAAACTTGTATCCTTTCACACCTTTCTTGTAGCCCAAAAAGATGAACTTCTTAGATTTTGCATCAAATTTTGATCTTTTATCTCCAGTTACATGCACATAAGCAAGACAACCAAAAATCCGTAAATGATCAAAATTAATTGGATTACATGTCCATACCTCTTATGCGACCTTGCCACCCAACGATGCCCGATGTGATCTATTAATGAGATAACATGTCATATTTACAGCCTCTGTCCAAAAACACTTAGGAAGCCCTGCATTCAATCTCAACCATCTTTCCCTTTCAGTTAAGGACATGTTCGTCCTTTCTGCCACACTATTCTATTGTGGTGCCTTGCGCACTAAAAAAATGCCTCTGAATCCTGTGTTTCTCACAGAACTTCTGAAACTACAAATCTGTGTACTTTGTGTCATTATCGGATCTCAAATACTTAATCTTTCTGCAGTTTGGTTTCCACCTCAGCTTTTCACTGCTAGAATTTAGAGAAGACTTCAAATTTCTGCTTCAAAAAATACACCCAAACTTTCCTAGAGAAATCATCAATAAAGATAACAAAATACTGAGATCCTCCCAATGACGATTCCCTAGTAGAGTAGGGCCTCATCAGAATGCACATAATCAATAATCCCTTCAGTTTTATGTTTTCCCGTCATAAAACTGACTCTAGTCTGTTTTTCAAGAATACAGAACTTACAAATATCAAGCTTGCAGCTTTTAACACCATGAAACATATTTCTTCTATGCAATTCCGCCATCCCACGTTCACTGAGATGACCCAGACGCATATGTCATAGCTTTGTACTATCATCATCTAACTCCACATAAGAACTCCACCTGCAACTGTACTCCCCAACAGTTTGTAGATATTCTCTACAGTTAACTTTCCTTTCATCACTGTCAGTGCACCCTTAACAATTTTGATGGTTTCCTTATCCTCATCTGTCTTAGGAATAAAACCATTTCTGTATAGAGTGCCTAAGGAAATCAATTTTTTCTTCAAATCTGGAATATGTCTGACATCACATAATGTTCTAACTGTGTCATCATACATCTTAATTCTGACTTCTCCAATACCAATAATATTGCAGTATTTATCATCACCTAGATAAGCTGAGCCAAAATTAGTTGACATGTATGAAGTAAATCACTCCATGTTATGTGTTATGTGATAAGAGCATCCTTAATCAATAATGCATGCATCCATGAACTGAGTTGATGAAACTGAAAGCATATCACCATCACTGCAATTTATGCTGCACCACATTTACAGACTTCGATGATGCATCACTTTTCTCTCCAGTCTGCTTCTTCAACTTTGGACAATCTCTCTTCATATGACATGACTCCTTGCAATTGTATTAATGAATTGTTTTTTTGCCTTTCGACTTGAATCTGGAATTTCGCCTTCTATTACCCCCATTCTCTTTCTTCCTTCCACGATCATGCTTACCCTTAACATATAAACTTTCGTCATAAGAGTTTTCCACTGCATTCTGCTTCCGCTGGTTATGAACCAACAATACTGCAGTAATTTCATCAACTTGATAGTTTCTTTCTCATATGTAAGAGTAAAGAGTAGTCATCAGGGAGTAGTCATCAGGTGTTCATAGGAAGAAGACAATGAACACAACAAAATCATCGCTCGATCTTCATCCTCAATATTCACATTAAGCCGTGACAGGTCTGTGATTATTAGATTGAAGTCATTAACATACTGCGCCAGATCATAACCTTCTTGCATCTTCAACCCATACAAATTTTGCTTTATATACAATTTATTCGTCAGAGATTTAGCCATAAATCGAGTTTCCAATTTCTTCCATATCTCCCCTAGAGATTTCAGATTCATCACGTGATACATAACCTCATCTGACTTGCATAGGTGTATAGTTGCTGCCGCTCATTGTTGCAATTATTCCCAATCTTCATCCTTCATGGCATTTGGTTTTGTTGCCCGCAAAGCTTTCAAGTTCTCTGTTGAGCCAACAGATTTTTCACTCTTGTTTGTCACAATCTGAAGTTACCAGGTCCATCGAACTTCACCACCTCGAATTTTCTACAAGAAAATGTCATTTAAAAATAACTCCTACAACAAAAACTTCAGCAAATTCCTCTCTTAAATTTTGAAAAAAATCCTTGCTCAGAATATTTCCAAAATATCCTTTGAATATTTCCAAAATATACTGAAACTTATCTTCGGAATACTTGAAATTTTCCTTCGCGTGAATATTCCTCAGATTCCTTTCTTCCAATTCTTCCAGCAAAGCAAATAATTTCCTCTCTGCCTGAAATATTCATTCTATTTTCTCTCCGCCTCCAACAAAAGAAATAAAGATTCCTTATATTTCCTCTCAGCCTCCTGCAAAGGAAATAATTTCAGCAAAGGAAAAAAAAAAATTCTTCTCCAGGAGATATCCCAAAGGAATATTCTTCCAATCTTTCCTGATTTGTCCGCCCAGCAGCCTACAAAGCGCGAACCGAGCCTCCTGATTACGCCAACTTTTCCCGCGAACCGAGCCTCTTCTGCCCAGTGCCTCCTCCTTCGAACACCAACAGTCTGAAACTATGTGCGGAACCAATCGCGGAAGAAGTTCCAAAAAATCTCACCTTCCTGGAAGAAGCAATGCACGAAATTCAAAGCCCCCGATCTGGAGCTTGTCACCAAAAAAAAAACTCCTCACGCTGCCGCGAATAGCGTCGCGAGTTGCCGAGATTCGCGAATCCCGCACCATGCTCTTCCTCAGCCGCCGAATCTTCTTCCTACCCTTGAACCAAGCTCTGACATCACTTGTTAAGAAATTAGGGCAAAGAAAAACATGAATCAACTCAAATCCAGAAGAACACAAAGAGATTTAACGAGGTTCGACAAAGATGCCTACGTCCTCGGGAGCAGAGTGGCGAATTCCTTTCAATATTCAGAAAAGAGATTACAGAATTTTGGGATAAAATCTAAGGTTATATACAAACCTATTATAACCCTAGAAAGAACAATAAAGGAAACCTTGGGTACAATAAGTAATTATCAAATTACCCTTGTACCACACCCCCAACCCACATAAAAAAATTCTCCTGATGTGGACAGAATCTTCCGCTCCGCTCCAGCATCTGTCCCTTTATGGTATATGAGCCATATCTAATACTTTTTTAAAATAGATTTAAAAAAATTCAATTAAGAGTTTCTTCTCAGTGTGAGGAGCGTTTATTACATATGAAGAATGTTTGTGTGAATTTGGTTGTATTTAAGAATGTTTGAGGCTGGTATAGCTTTTATAATGATTAGTCTTGTACTAAAAAATCATTTAATTTATTCATATTAAATCAAAGCGGGGGTGGCTTTGGTAAGTTGTATTTATGTGTTCACGTAGCAAATTTGAACATGCAACTATCATGTGTGATCTTTTTACCATCCGCCCGTTACAAAAGTGAAATATATTAAAAACAACAACTTTAGCATATGCTTCATGAATGATGTTGTTTTAATTTACACTTTAATTCACCACATAGATCCCACTTGGAAACTCATGAAAATGAGAAAGAAATCAAATAATTTAATCAATGTATTCATCCAAATTTCCCAAATTTACATGGGCTCATCTTGATGAACGTGAATACACAGAATAATTTCACAAAGATTGATATGAACTTACTAAAACTAATCAAAGTCATGAAGCGACAATAAACTTCTCAAAATCTAAGGGAGTATTTACCAAAGCTCAAGCCTATTTATGATTACACACATTTATCTAAGCTCAGGAACTATTTGCTAGGCTGACAACATCAAAAAGATCGACGAGTACTTAGCAATTCAGAGATAAGTCCAAGTACTCAATCATAAGCAACACGTCTTGCCCTTTCATAACAAGCAAAAAATTAATCAAACAATTTCATATGAAAAACAAAGGCTTCTCCATTCATCCAAAAAATTTGCACGTAAGTTCATACCGAACACCTTCTAACGAACCACAAACCACAAAGAGCAATCCCAAAATTCGTTGAGTATAGACAGTGATTGCAAACCACAAAGAGCAACCCCACCAAAATAGATTCATTAAACACATAAATTAAGTTACTCACATTCATCAAACAACATTTCAAATATGTATTCACTGAAATTTAATGAGCATATACAAAGAAACCCTACCAAGACAGAGATCAACCTAACCGAGATAGAAAGCAAACCACCAAGAGCAACGCAATCGAGACAGAGCAAACCAGAAAGAGCAACCCCAACTACATAGAGACAACAAAACCACATAGAACAAAGCCGTAAAATTTTTTTTATCCAAAGAACGTCTGTGAAAAAATGAAAGCCATCACATAATAAACAAATGTCTTTCTTCCAATATAGCTATTTCTCCAAACAACTTCACCGAAAAACGAATCAAAAGCATTTGGGTATCTGCACAAACTATAAACTACAAAGAACAAAACCACTTAGACAGAGACAACAAATCACAGAAAAAAGCCTTTCAAATTAAAAAATAGAAGGTGCTTGAAGATAAAGGAAAGGAAAGCAAAGGAAGAAAACACCAGCAATCTCTCAACTGAGGTACCGGAGGATGAAGGAAAGCAAAAGAAGAAAAAAGCCGACACATCGAACTGAAGGAGGATCACTCGAAAAAGAAGTATGCTAGTGCGTTTAAATAAATGCAACCAAATTACATAAATCAAACGCACCAAAGTATATTTTCGTTCAGCGTCAGAGCAGATAAGCTATCTCAAACACACCCTTAATTGAATGCCACTCAAGTACACCCTTAGCACACCCAATCCACACATACAGATCATCCATATATAATATTTTTTCCAACTCGAGACACTATGTCACTGTTTGAAGTAGCTTAGCTTTCTTTTAAAGTGATTGTAGAATAGAATTTTCGTCAAGTTTTTTTTTTTTTTTTTATAATAACTACCGTGGATGTTATAAACGTTTTCCTAAAAAAAAAAAAAGAATTCAGACAATAAGTCCTTACTGCAACCAAACTTTATCAATTCTTGTCATCCATCTTAAAAATAACAGCTTCATATCATAAAATTTTATTAAAAAAAAAGCTAATAAGTCATAACCAAACTAAAATATTGCAACTTCATGAAAATAAATGCCCAGAACACATATTCTCGCATATATGACACATGCGCACAGAAAAAGCAAGAAATCTTCGGTATCAGCAAAACTAAATAAAAAAAAAAAAGGGTAAAGCTTGTTTACACTTAACAAACCAATCAAAATATAAATGAATGAAGCTTATTCCGATGAATTTGACATACATGCCTGTTATCTAAGAATGATACATTGAATAAGATAACAGCTTGTTCTGTGAAGGAATTGCTCAAATATAAATAATAAAATCACTATATGTTTTCTGAAGTGTTCTAAGCAGGCTGGATCTGTGGCGTGTAGGTTTGGGAAGAAAGGAAAGTGAGCGCAGTTACCACGTTGGAGATGAGAGGCCTCGTGGTTGGTTCCTCCTGGACGCACATCGCTGCAACGGCGAGAGCTTGGTAGAAGCCTCTTAATGGATACTGACCCTCGAGCATTGGGTCGGCCATCTGAGCGAACTTCGTCCTGTCTTTGAACTGAGGGCGTGCCTGTAATGAGTTATCATTTTCAACAAATATGAGTACATTCCAGCCTTTTTCACATGTGCGTACGTTGCTTGATAGAAAATTAGACTGAGCTTTATACAAGGAGTCTACAAGAAAGCTTTCACGTTAAAAACCAAAAAAAAAAAAATAATAATACTGGCAACTGATCTAGGAGAAATTATCAAATATACTTCTCCTATTTAATTGGAGTAGACCAAGTAGCAAAGTTATAAATTCAACAGTAATTTGTTCTCCTATAAGTGTGATGAAGATAATGGCAACAAAGATGACCATTGAATATGAAGATCAACTGACGATGATTGTCGCGAGATGACAACCAGATGATGATAATTGGATGACGAGAATAAATATTAGACAACAACGAACGCGAGATGATGATGAAGTAAAAGAAAAATGGTGATCAGATGGCACAAGTCTAAAAATGGTGATTAGACAACAATATTTGGATAATAAATGTCGGATGATGATGGTGAAAGTGGTTGAATGATTGCAATTGAGTGATGGTGGCCGGATGATAATAGTCGGGTGAAGATATTTGAACAATGACAATCGGGTAACAATGATAGAAAGATAACAACGAACAAGATGGTGGTCAATAATGGTTGGGAGCGGGTTGTCTTTATTGTCAGAAAGAGCTTCAAAGTTTTAAGATAAAGCTCTCAAGTCTCTCCTCATTTGGAAAAGTGTCTATTTATCACTTTTTTGAATGATATTTTGGTAAATCTAACTAAAATCTAGAAACTATCTATTGAACAGCTCATCTTAATTCTTTTGAGCATAAACCGATCTTTTAGTCTCAAAATTTAGTGATCCTAGGTTAGCTGAATTAATTTTGTTAAGATACTCAATTTTATTGTAAATATACAAGATTTTTAGACTTTTTGGCCTTTAATTAATGTCCTAAATTTTCAAACCATGCTTTAAATGCTTGATCTAGGCTTACTTGGGCTCAAATGGAAACACTTTCATTTTGTAAAATTCAACTTATTATGAGGAATGTGTGTTTGTGTGTGTGTGTGTGTGTGTGTGTGTGTAATTAATACTTGAAATTGAATAGCCCCAAAGTTATCTCATTGGTTTAAATTATTATTTATTTAAAAGGAAAAAAAATCAAATCTTTGATTTTCAGTTTTGTCAATTCGCCTTGTTGCCGTCCCCTAGTACCAATTGGTTAACATCGACTAAAAAAAATTAACAATGTATAATATGATTAGGCAAGCCAATCCGATAAAATATGAACAAAAAGAAAAAGGATCAGCTGTGAATTCAGACAGAAGTATACAGAAGGTTAAGATCTTTCTATAGTTATGTTCTCTAAAACATAAACGTCAAGAAGGCCTAACTTGAAGAAATTCTGGAAAAAAGCGATCCTCTCGTATAACAAAAGAAAAAAACTAAAATTTAATAAATTTAAGAGAGAGCAGCAAAGCCACTTACCCATGCGACAAGATTCTGCGCCCCTGCTTTACTGGAATAATCAATAGCCTTCCTTCCTGTGATTATCTCCAATAGTACAACTCCAAAACTATAAATATCTGATTTTAAGGTTAGCTGCCCCGTCATCGCATACTCTGGTGCACAATATCCGTATGTACCCATGACTCTAGTGGATACATGAGAGTTATCACCGACGGGACCAAGCTTTGCCAAACCAAAATCAGACAACTTAGGATGATACTCCTCATCAAGTAAAATGTTCGAGCATTTCAAATCACGGTATATAACTGGTGGATTCGCTTTATCGTGCAAATATTCTAGCCCCTTCGCCGCACCAGCAGCGATTTTCATTCTTGTGTTCCAATCCAATCGCTTTGTTTCTGGAGTAAGATCTGTAGCAATAGATCAATGTCAGTGTTAACTGTGTTATTTAAATAATAGTGCATTAGAAAGTGCTCATCAAAAAGAGGCTAAAGTTGAACCTGAAAAACCAATAGCCAAACTCAATTTCAACCCAAAAGTTTAAGTGTAATGAAAGAACCAATCACTCTATACCGCCATACTCATATATTTATCGAAGAGATAAGTGTAAAATTGTCCACAATACTCTTTGTCCGAGGTCATTTAGTCCTCAAGCATATAAAAGTGTCAATTTAGTTTACACATTTTTAATAAGAAATGACCCCATGTAAATATTAAAGAGACTAATTTGACACTTTACTCATTTATCAAATATCTGCTTTGACACTTTACTCTGTCAAAACACCGAGTTATTAATGAAAAATATTGCACTTTTTTCTATGTTATACAGAATATCAACATGAATTATGACATCTATTTTTACTGGAATTTATTTTAACTGTCACGAAGTAGCATCTATCATGCCACTGATAAATTAATTATATAGAGAAGTCATCAAACCAGACAGTAACATATAGCAATGACATATTATTACATATAGCAAATGTGTAAGAAATCAAACAACTAATAAGAACCCAAACATAATTAACCAGGGATTGAAAAACGGCATACCATGAAGATGGACATCCAATGATCCCAGCGGCATGTATTCGTAAACCATTAGTCTTTGGTCACCATCAGCACAATAACCAATTAAGTTAACAAGGTTGGGGTGGTGCAATAGACTTAGCATCAATACTTCAACTAAGAACTCTCGATTTCCTTGCAAACCGTTCCGATCAAGTTGCTTTATAGCCACAATCTGGAGGCCGAAAGTTCACAGTAGCGTAAGACTCAAAAGCAGGTTTAATAGGACAGGGATACAAAGCAACAGGATGTTACGTCTTAATTTTCTAATAAATTAAAGCATTTTATTGCAGGAATTTTCGCCAGCGAATATATCAAAAGAATATGTAATTTAACATAATATAGATAAAGTGCTGGGGCAAGCATAGCACCTTACCGTTGGATACCATACTTTTTTAAGAGCACAAAAATCAATTTGAGCAGTGTCAGAAAAGTAGATTAGTATTAATCTTATTGAAATAAAAAAAAACTTTAATCACAATTTAAGTAAAATTCGGTTATGTGGAGAACAATCCTTTCCGTGATTTGGAGCTTCCTGTAATTATTTGTTGGGCTATAATTTGTACTCATGCTGCTATCCATTGATTTGGTATATTGTTAAGGTTTCTTATACAACCTAGAATGATAACTAAGATGAAAACACAATAGAAATTATAGTCCACAAGTTACCAACTTATACTGTTGACAAAAAATCATCACTTTAATGTAACTTTTTGACAAAAAATCATCATATTTAATGTAAGGATAACAGCGACACTTTGTTTATCCTAAAAAAATATTTACCAATCGTTTAAATTTAATATTCCAAAGAAAAAAGAAATATAAATTTTTTGAAAAAAAAAATAATTATGTGCTTCAAAATGAAAATTCAACACAATTCTAAGCACACACAAAACCAGTAAGAAAATAATTTAAAACACAAATGATAGAAATCACTCCAGAGAAAAAAACCATGTTTCATGATGGTATGAGGAATCTCCCCTCCCAAAAGAAAATAACCGTAAGTCATGTTGGTACAGAGAGTCTACCTTGGAAGTAGTTAGTTCACATCTATGAACTACTCAAAAAATACACATCCAACAAGCACACTCACGAAGAGTGAAAAACTAAAATTTATATCAATATTCAATACTCATTAAAACTTACATGACTTGAGATTAGCCAACAAAAAACATAAAACAAGAACTTCTCAAAATCCGCAAAAATTAAACAAAACAATGGAAAATTTCAATGCATTAATCATTAATTACACTAATACAAATTCCTCCATAAATTATACTTCCTAAATTGCTTCTAAAGACCCAAAAAACTAAGACGGATAAAACATCAAGCTCATAAGCAAAGAGAGGTGAAGAAGTGGGTGTGAAACTGTGGCTGGGTAAAAATTGCGACAATTTAAGTAACAGGTTCAGGCATGCAGAGAAGTAAAGAATAGTAACAAGCTTCACATGAAAACGCCTAGTAAGGGGTCTCGTTAAGGCAGCTGCGGCGGTTTGAAAAAGCAGCTATGAAGCTGTTGCAGAAGAAATTGTTGTTCAAAAAACTACGATAATTATTACAAATTTATTTTAATTTCAAAAAGTGAGCCCGCACCTTTCTGGCAGCCACCACACTCACAAGTTAGGTTGAAAAATGCAGCTTTCTGCCACAAATTTTTTTTAAAAAACAGCAAGAAAGCAGTTCCCCAAACAAAACTGTGGTGGTGGTCTGAAAAACAAAACTACCAAAAAACTGTCCCAAATAGACCCTAAATGCTTATTAATAAAGAATAATTAACAATTCACATCGTGGGAATGATTTTAAACTCCATATGTACTTGTTAGAATTCAATTCGACGAGCCCAAACATCACAAAAAATAAGTTAAATCTAACAGGCTACTCAAAATACTGGAGAACATATCTGGTTCAAATAAAATCTACAATTATAGTCATGTTTTTACGCATGAAATGAACTAGGAAATAAAGTTTAAAATCTATAAACATGATTTGCATTAATGAACAAAACACTTTCAGATTTGTCTCAATCTGTTTGGCTTGAAAAATTTAGCTAAAACAAATCAAGTATTTAGTAGTTGTTAGGTCTGGCCAAAATTGAGATGCTTTCTGCAAGGTAACCATGAATAATCATAAATAAATTTGTCATTTCATGGCACAATAAAACTACGAAATCAACTTTCAGAAGTGAATACAATTTTTGGATATAAGTTAGCTTCTGGATAAGATGAGTAGATATGTATGGTAAAGGTGTTGAATGTAAATTTAAAATGAGGAGAAGGAATAGAGAAGAATCTATGGTACTAATGTTCATAAGGTAAAATCAAATCAGATCGGTTAAAGACATCACTAATACCAATATTTCTCCAAATTTCCAATCCACAGTTTATTGCCCTAACATGTTACGAAATTTTATATAGCATTGCCTTTCTTGCAACTAATTTCCTAAAGGTCCAGTAAAAAGCTGATATGATCCGGAATACATTTCTTACAAAAATCAGGGCAAACACATATTTTATTTCACGAACACCAAATCAAAGCAATAAACACAAATTCATAAAGATAAACACCTACAATTTGGGAGGTAGGCAATCTCTTCCAAATCCTACAATTCGAGAGGTAGAAAATCTCTCCAAAACCCTAACCCTAACACTCAAAACAACAATCTCATGCAAACCTCTAACTCTAAAAATATTAGTCATTGATAATAATAAAAAACTAAATTTCCCTTAGGCTATTAAAAGACAAAAATTTTCCTTAGGCACCGGCGATACTCCCACCACAAAAAGACACATTGTCATCAACATGGAAGAAAAAAAAAACTACTGCTAAATCAAGCCATGTAGCTCCTGCTCATAAATTGGCCTAACTATGGCTCTCGGCGTCAGCAATGCTACACTCATAATGACCTTATTTAACTTCTCCCCCAATGAAACTTATCATTCTTCAATTTTCTTCGTCTACAACCACATAATCAAATTACAACCCATCACGTGCTTCAGATAGTATCTATAAGTCTCATAAACTTTCTCAACCCCTTTTAGGTCTTAGATAGTGGCCCCCCAACATAACCGCCACCTTCTTTGGATCAACTTACAGTCTTATACTAAGGTCTTGCACAAGTTGGCGTCATCGCGAAGCACCACCTTCCTCCCCTCCACGCTAATCTCCATAGTAAGGAATTTCCAATCCACCTTCATCTCCCTAACCGTCTATAGTCACTTTATCCCCAAAATCACATTAATGCTTCCCAAGTTTAAGGAAAGAAAGTCCTCCACCACCTATAGGCCCTATAGTATTAATACTAATCCCCAACAAATTTCCAAATTTTTCTTCACCTTCCCTATCCTCACAATGACCCCAAAGCTTCTCGTATCTACCAGCATCAACCCTAGCTGGTCTATGACCCGATTTGAGATGAATGTATAAGTGGTTCCATTATCCACCAACACCACTACCAGCTGCTCCCCGATCTGTCCCCGCCTTCATGGTGTGATTTGGAGTAAATCTCACCACTGAGTTAAGGGACATCTCTACTACATCCAAATGTAGTGCTCCTCTCCTTCCATTACTTCTTCCTACGACTCCTCACTATCAGTCTCCTCCCACTCACAAACTAAAAGAACCTAGAGAGTGTGATCCTTGCACTAGTGGCCTAAGGCATACTTCTCATTATATCAAAAAAATAATCTCTTTGCTCTGTTGTCTTGGACCTCTGCCTACGTGAGACGTTTGAAGTTGCCCCCAGAATAAGCCCCCATATTCCTCTCCTTCAGCATCTCCTTCTAAAATGATACATTCTGGATCCTCGGTATCATGCTCGTCAAGTACACTTGTGGTGTTGCTTTTGTTGGTCTTCTTCATCTAGTTCTTGTCTCCACCATCAGGGCAAGTTCCATCATCTCCCTCAATTCCCGTGATCTCAATAGTCAAAGTGTTTCTCATATGTCAGGCTTTAGGCCCTTCATGAAATTACCCTCCAATCCTACTTAAAAAATCTCTCTCAACTGTATCAATAATAACTCGAATCTCTCATTATATTTCATATCAAGGCATAGAATTGTTCGTGTAGGCTTCCTTCTCGGATGGCAAAAAAATATTCCAACAAACAATCATTAAATTCCTCTCACGAACAAATCAGGTATCTAACCCCCTCCACTGAAATCATGCTGAAGTTTTCCCCTCTACATATAACTTGCCACCACGATCTTCTACTCCCCATTAAGCCCATTCATCGTGAAATATTGCTCCACCTGATAGACCCATGTATGTGTATCTTCCCCATCGAAGATCAACAACTTCAACTTCCTAACCCTAGCATATCCAACCCAATCTCTTATCCCTTCAACGTTTCCCTCATTGATCATAGTCATACCCTACCCCAACTTCTTTGATTTCTTCATGATCCTCCAAACCTCTTGCATAAACCCTCATCCATATTTTGGCCCAAACCATCCATCAGAAATCTCTAATCCATCCCTCATCAAAGTCCTGGTAGGATTCCTTTCATGTTCTAACATGTTCAATTTCTTTCCTTTCGATCTGGCTACAGCTTTTCCAGTCAACCTTTGGTTAAGGTTTACAAATTGAGTCATTGGCAAGATCTTAGATTGCATCTCAATAACCTTCCTTATTATCTCCTCCATATTCTCGATTCGATTGTTAATGGCAAAAAACTTTTCCTCTACCCCAAACTTAAGTAGCTCTACTTCTTCTTCTAATCTCTCCTCCAAAGCATCAGCTTTCCTTGCTGCCATCACTCATTGTATGGTTTCAGAAATCCTTTAAACTGGAATCACAAATTTCAGAATTTTTGTACACAAATTTAGCATGCGCGGAACTCTGGGCATTGCGATCCCTGAATTCTTGTGAGTTGTTTTGTGCAAAACTATTGGAAACTACGAGGAACTCTAGAAGCCACAATCCTATACGCGGGTTCAGCTTGGGAAGTCATGTTGTTGACCTCTCGCAATCGGGATTCAACTAGGTTGCAAATTCGATCGTGAGTTCCGATCACCAGCAATGCGGAACTCTACACATCAAAACCATGATTGTGAATATTAGTCAAGAGCGGCATAAAACCCCTGTATAATGTGACCCCATCGGCTCCCCAGCAAGCTCAAATCACGAATGCATCGGATGTCACACTCTGAATACGATCTATCGTCGCTTCTCAGCTTGCTCTTATCGCTTTGTATCGTGACTGTTACATGATCCCCTTTTCGTGCGTGCGCAATCCAATTAACTTCCTAGCTCTTATCACAACATGTTATGCGATCTCTTGTATGTATACAATATCTCTTGTATGTACACAATAAACAATCACAAAGGAAGATGGACATAGACCTTTATGTCGCTATCTTTCTCTTCCCAAAAGAGTCTCGATCCTCTTCTTCTACTTTCCAAATTCCCAAATCCACACTACGATACCAATTTGATATGATCTGGTACATATTTCCACACATGAAATTAGGAAAAAAACAGATTTCTTCTTCAATAACAAAAAAATGACAAGTTGCATAAGGATAAACACCTGCAATTTGAGAGGCAAGTGATCTCTCCCAAATCTTTCAATTCGAAAGGTAGGAAATCTCTCTTAAACCTTAACCCTAGGCTCAAAACCACAATATCATGCATAATCCTAACACTAAACATGTTAGCACTATTTATACTAAACAATAATAATAATAATAATAAAATAACCAAATTGTCCTTATGCTAATAAAAGACAAAATTGCTCTTAGGCACCAACGTAACAGAAGCCTTATAGAATTCATAAGCAACATTACATTATCACCTAGTTAGAATTCAATCCCCTATTTACATAATTAATTGTTTGTTTCATATGAATCTCTTCATGCTAATATGACGGTTCATACAAATCATTTAAAGTTATAATTTACATAATTAATTGTTTCTTTCATATGAATCTCTTCATGCAAATAAGACAGTTCATACAAATCATGTAATTAGATGATAGAAAGCAAATAATGTAAATGTGAAGATGCTAGTATGTGTCACAAGTGATACTACAGATTATTTATAACCATTTCCCACATGATTAGATGATAACAAGAATAAAAAAAAGTAGGCAACACACGATATTTTGTCATTCCTTAATGGTCAAAAAGCCCTTTAAAAAAAGTCAACCAAGAATGTTTAAATATTAATAAATTTAATTTTTAAACTCTTAGATTTTGACCAAACTTTAAAATTTAGGTTTCTTTATGGCTTTCATTATCAATCAATTCATCTAAATATTGATAAAATTTCACTTTCTTCTTAAGTTTTAGTATATAAGATTGCAAACCTAGGAACTGAGATCTAACTAAGCATAAAACTAATTTTAATTTTATTGATAGGGATACTTTAATTAAAACTTTCGTTAATAGTTCAATAAACTTTTTCGTTAGATTTGCCATCTTTAATAGGCAAAATTTGTTTACTTTTGTATTCAAGCTCATATTCATATTTAGTAATTTCTATAGGAAGCTATCTCACCATAAAAATGGATTCAGCTTCCACGAACCCTAATCATATTCAGTATTAGATTCAGCTTTTAAGTATTTTTTTATGTTTGAATACTATAGTTGATTCAATGTAAATTTCAAATTCGATGTCAATTTGAGATTTAGATTCAAAATCAATCTCAAATTCAAAATTGATTTTAGGCTCAAATTTTGGATATAGATTTGACTCTCTCGTCTTTAATCTTAACTTCAAATTCAAGTTGTAACTTGTTTAAGTGTAGGCACAAATCTATGAAAAAAATTTTAACCAGGTGCAGATTCAAATTCATCAGTCAAGTGCAGCTCAATTTGCAAAAGTAAATCTTCTTTTATATTCAATATATCTCTAAATAGTCTAATTGTAACCGTAAATCTTCACATAGTTCATTTTCAAAGGGATATTCATGTCTATAGCTTTCAGTCTATCTTCAATAGAACCAAATTGGATCATGCAAGACTTCTAGGTCATTATATGTTTGACAGGTTAAAAAGAAGAAAATAACAATTTCTCTATAGGGTTCTACTCGATTGCATTATTACTAACATATCATTCATAGTGTGCCTTAATATTTAAAGATTCAACTAAGGCCTCACTTAGCGTTTTTAGTAAGCAATATCTTAAGACAAACCTAATCTTTTGCCCAATAAAAATTAACAAAACTCATGATGATAAAAAGATAGTCTAAAGGAAAATCATATTTTACTATAATAAATATATAGTAATATGCAAACATACTACAATAACTTCGACAACAATCGATAAAGTAATTATTCAATTGATCTCAAATTTTGTGTGACATATTACTCTTTGAGTTTGCCTCAATTGATCTAAAAGTTAAAGCAACGATTGTATTGTAAGTTATAAGTATGCAGCACTACAATCCAATTTCATGTCTGAAACAAGTTAAAAATGGATAACCTGCCAACTTTGATAAAATGGAAATTCATTTAAATACATATGGCTGTTCGAGAAAAAGCAGAGCATCTAAATTATCCAAGAAAGAAAAGAAATGCTGACGAAGTAGCTCATCATAAGTTTGATCTTCCTGTCAATAAATAATAAATCTAGACCTTTCTAGCGAACATAAAAAAAAATGAACTCCGAGATACGGGATTATAAACTGACCTGATTAGAACTCTCCAGGCAACCCTTAAAAACTTTTCCAAACCCTCCCTCTCCTAGAAAGCAATCAGCACTAAAATTCCTGGTTGCAGCTAGCAGCTCTGGGAAGGTAAATATCTGAGAAAAAATATTTTTAGACCCATTACTCTGCACCGATATATCTTTCGAAGGACCATTGATTTTTTTACCATCAAATTGGCTTTCCTTCACTGACTTCTTTGCTAAACAAATTACCAATAAATGAAGATTAGAAGTTTTACTAAAACAAGCTAGCATACATTTAGTAAAGGCATTCATTAATAAAAGAAAGGAAAACAAAAAAGTTCCCATAGACATTAACACTGTGTTCAATAGAAACATTATGCATAAAAAGTCATCCATTGTTACTTATCAATCAAAGCAATTCACCTAAGGGCTCATTTGGTTGCTTGAATTTAGAAAATAATTTGAAAAAGAATGAGTTTACAAGATTCCATCATTTGATTTGATGCAACTAGATCGATATCAAAATTAAGCTTTACAAATAACATCAAAATTTTCAACTATGATGATTCTTTTCTATCTACAATTAACCAAATGATCATGGAAAAAAAAAGCTATCCCAATGTTCAAATTTCAATGATAATTCTCACATCCAGGAACGTTGCAAACTACAAAAATCTAAACATTCCACTGAGGTTTAACGAGAGATTTCAATTCTCAGTCATCAATATTGTTTAAGCTGCAATACAATAAATCTCAAGTTGAGGGAACACTAGCTATCGTGTTAGCTGAGAAAATCCCAAAGTAGAATCACCATCCTCCTCCAAGTTCAATTTAAATTTTATGACTTGAAGTGATCAAAATATTTCTTTCTCTTTAGCATCATTAAAACTTGTGGAATCAAGATTTAAAAAATTTTTAAGATGTTTTGGTCATTCAATCAAATGTATCAAAAGTTTCACAATAGATAGCTAAGATTGTATGATAAGATAATTGTAATTTCAAAAGTTGGGACACTTTTAAATGGCTTGGAATCAAATACATGAATTATTAAAGATACTTCGCACAAATTGAATAATTTGGATTGGTGAGCATTAAGAAAAAACTATATTTTATCATAATATCATTATGACTTTCAAATGATTGATGAATGACTAAACCATCATGAAAATTAGTGAAACACAATCCACACAAAATTCGTATATTGTAGCGTCATCTTGAATTTCAAAATTATCAAATAATAGGCATAAGTATTTTTTTAGCCAAATTTTTAGGCAAGTACCAATTTTTAGATAAACCTACTTATTTGTGGTTAAATGCTGACAGAAAAGACAAGTAAGTTTACAATGTGAGGCATTTTATTTACATGATTTAAAAGGAGACATTATGAAACCTCCTAAGTAGAACAGAACAGAAAATATCAAAGCATTACACTAGCAGAAAGATGAGAATTGAGTGTCGTACATGGCAAAATGCCATGACATGAGAGAATCCTATTGAACCCTAATTGAGATGAAGTGCTAAATCAGAGAAATCTTCTCTTAAACTTAAAGGGGCCGTCTCAACAATCCTATCTGCATTATAATTGATTCTTAGTTAATGATACTAATGAGGACCTCAATTACTTAGTGCGGTAGATTGTTAAACCCTTTAAAGTTGAATAAAGGAAGCAATATCTCTTAGATTAATAGTTTTGCCGTTAAACCAATATCCCAAACAAGCGGCTAATGATCGGAACCTTAACCGAGTTCACGAAAGATAAAGTAATTAAAGCTGCAATAATCTAGCTGAAGAAAATTGATCATCAACAGAAGGACATGGAACACAGCCAAATCACAAACGTCAACAAAATTCCAACGCAACCTTTCCAAATCGAAGCAAGAAAAAGCCTAAACAAAACATGGATAACCTAACGAAGTAGCAGGAACCCATTTCCAAATGAAAACAAACACAGCCAAAAACTACCCCATTCAATCAAAAGCTCAATCCGAAACAATCCAATAGGGAATCGATTCCAATAGCATCTCGATATTAATGAATGAGTTGAAGAAAATTTCCAGTACCCGAGGGCTGTGGGATGTGTTCCTTCTTCATGCTCTCCTTGCAGCTCACTTCGCGGCAAAGAAAGCAAGCCATCTTTCCGCACCAGATATCCCACCCCTCGGCTTCTTCTCAGTTTCAAAGCGAAGTAGAGAAGCAGAGAGGTCAAGCCAGGCAGAAAGGAAAACCCGGAAGCAAAAGCCACAAGATAAGACAAGAGGAGGGGGATGGAGAAAGAGAAAGGAGGCATTGGGATCTCCGATCTCCTTCTCACACTGCATAATTGGAAGCTACCTGTGCGCTTCTCAATTAGAAATGATATTTTCAATTAAGATAATATAATCGATTATCATCTTTATATCTATTATTGTAGTGCATCAAGATTGTGTCCCTACGAATCTCAAAGAAATCCAACAAATCGAAAAAAAAGAACATAACCTACTTACCCCAAATTCAGAATCAAAAATGAAGGCTAAAGAATAACAAAAAAATGACATGAATCCAAATTAATAAGACTAAACACCACTGAAAAACTGAAAAATACATCAACCTATCTCTCGATAGATCTGACCCGACGAAAGAATCTAGTTCCCCAGCATTACCTCTCATCTAACGGATGTCCCGACGTTCCTCATGTGGAACTGACAATACAATGGAGCCTCACAACCATCCCAAAGGACTCTCTTGTTAATGAAAGAGTAGAGTGTTACAATGACTCATCTTCTCCTCAATAGCCTAATCTCGTTGCACCTACAAGAGCTCTCCATCCATAGATTGAGATTTGATAACCATACTACATTAATTGACCGACAAACTCTAACCGACCGAGTCAATCCTACCCACCGAAACTAATCAAGTCCAGCTGACCGACAACACGGACTTAGCCTGACCGACAACACCGACTTAGCGTAGCCGACAAAGTCAGCCTTACAGAGCCGAATTCATGTTATCCCAACCCACAAAACTATAGACTAGTAGAACAATAAGCTCATACATGTAAAATATCTATAATGTCCTCTACATCCCCCATTAAAATAGAGGCAAAAATATAATATCACATATTGCATCCTCTCACCTAAAAATAGGAAGATCATTTTATGAGACATTGATAATATAAAATACGTTTCACTACTTGTTTCTCTCTATATCTCTCTTTCTCTCATGTCTTACTTTGTAATACATGGAGTGTGATTCACGAATAAATCATAATTAAATAGTAGTGGATTAAAAGTTTTTAGAAATATTATTTAGATATATCTTGTTTTTATTTGAATATATAATATATATATATAAAGTGTTCTATACAAGGAATAGAAAAATTTATATAAAAAAAATTTAATTGCAGTTGATAAATTTATTATTTATATGAGATTACAAAAATTTATTCTTTCATATAAATAAATGATATGTGATTACAAAATTGGGAATACTTATTCAATTTTATGTTGCTATCATCTACAAAACTAAAAGATTAGTGATTGGATGATAACACTCGAGTGAAAATCTTCAATAGAAGAGTGTCAGTGACGAAGACCTGAAAATATAAGTTGAGCAATAATAATTGGACGTAAAAACTAAAAAATGGTGGACTAGATATATTGCAATTTTGAATGGTAATATTGAGGTAATTATGATTGGATGGCAGTGGTAAGATAATGACATTATAATGATGACACTTGAGTAACATTAGTTCGATAATTATAGTTGAATGATGATGGTTAGGTTATAAAGATCGAGTCATGGTAGTCGAATGATAATGATTATTAACTATATTTGTCAATATTGATTAGCGATCGAAGTTGTATAATTTTGAAGATGTCTTCGCTTTCTTTATTTTAAAATCCTGGCTTATTTTTAAGTTCAATTTTAATTCAAATTCAACTTTTTTAAGTAAAAAATAAGAGCTTGTTTATAATTTTTATGAGCGACATTTATAATTTATTTTATTTTTTCAAAATTCTATAAACTCCATCAAATGGTGAGTTATTTCCCGCAACCATTGATCTTCTGTTCATGGGCTTGCTAAATTTCTTTCGTTGAGATACTATGTTTAATCATAAGCATTCAAAATAAAAAATTTCTTTTTTGTGACTATTACATAATAGAAAATTAAAGTCTTAATAGGAATATTCAATACATACAAATATAAAAGTGATAAGGGACAAATATTTTATATATAAAAAAAAAGAAATATCATGAAGTTTGATCTAGTCAAAATAATTCACTATATAATTGATGTCACAAAATTTTATCTTTCTTCTTATTTAGAAAAACGAGGATTACATATTACGAATTTTTACTTGTACTTCTATTATTAGACTAGAGATTGTCAAAGGACACAATTTATTAAATGATAATGGTTAGACAACGACAATCATGAATTAAAGATTAGGCTACTATGAGCCTATGATTGCACTTAAGTTATAACAACCACTTGTGATAATCATTTATGATTATTGATGATTGTATTTAGCTCTTAGCATTATGATTCATCTTCATGCTGAAATATAGCCCAATTTATAGTATGTAGAAAATAACACTTTTGTAACTTTAACTAAAATGTAAAGCACTCAACCAAATGATCTGTGTTAACTCTTTCAGTTATAGATCATTTTTTTAGTATTTAGATGACTAAACAATATGAAATTTGAGTGAACATAGACTCGTTGGTCTCTTCTTGTCGAAAAAGTATTACATCAGGAGTCCTGATGCAGTTTTGCATCAGACTCCAATCAGGGTCTGTCACGTGTACAAACATGTCCACCCATGTATTAAATTAATTTTTTTTACTAAGATAGGCCCACCCATGTATTTTCCCAAAAAAATAACTAATAATTTTTTTGGGAATTTGGGGGTATTTTTATAATTTGGCCAAATTTGGTGGATTTATGGAACTTCAGGTGAGTTTGAGTAAATTGGATGGCTAGGATTGATTTTGTGAAGTTTTGAGTGAAATTGGGGATTTTGACAATTATTAGGTATTTTTGGGAATTTTGGCAATTTGGGGAAATTTTTGGGTACCTTGGACAATATTGAATGGTTTTAGGTGGTGAGCATGCAAGCCATAAGAAGCCTTCCTAAAATCATATGAGCCTATGAGAACCCATCTTAAAACCTCCACATGTTGGTCCTAGTCATCCTAATCAAGGGTTTGGGACTTTGGAACACCCACATGAGCCTTCAAAAGGGTTAAGGAGCAGTTATGGAGCTTAAGGGGGGAGATGGATCACTTTGAGTGAATTAATGGTTTTGGGTGTGTTAGGGAATTTGTGGTGAGTCCAAGTGTATGTGTGCAAGATCAAGCCACCCCAGGGTTGCCCTAAGGCCAATTGATCATAAATGAACTCATTCTTGAGCCTTCCCTTATTAGTCTTAGCCATCTCAATGTGACAAATGTGGGCTTTGTGACCACCCATATGGGAATTCGCAAGAAGAGTCAAGAAGTGTTTAGAAGTTTTATGTGATTGGTTTCCATTACTAAACCTTTAGGATAGTCAACAGGAAAGTCCTAAGGCTAGATATTAGGCTTCTAAAAAAGGGAATTATACCTCATCAAATATGAGGTCAACAGTCTGTTCTCCTTCATAAAACATACACAGCCAAAACCCTTCAATGGGAGAATCTCGCTATTATCTTCTTTGAACATCTGACAAGAAGACTTCCAATTCAACGCTCTCGAGAGCATTCTGTTGATCAAAATAGCCGATGCCAAAACTGCTTGCTCTCATAAATGCTTTGGAACACTCATCATAATCATCATGCTTTAAGCTACCTCTAGAATGTATTTAATCTTTCTCTCTACTACTCTAATTTGTGTTTATGTGTATGAGCATGTGGTTTGATGTTGTATCCCTTGAGCTCATAAATATTCTCCAAATATTTTGTTGGTATACTCAGTCTCATTATCGAACCTCAATAGCTTCACTACAACATAATATTGAGTCTGAATCTCCCCGTGAAAGTCTTTAAAGCAGGCAATCACATCTCTTTTATTTTTCATCAGATATAACCAAACAATACGAAAAAAAAATTATTAATGAAAGTCACCAAATATCTGTAACCATCCAAAGAAATTGTAGAACAAGATACTCATATCTTTGAGTACATCAAATCAAAAACCTAAGAACCCATTTTACTATAAATAACAAAAGAGCTCCTCATGTGCTTACCAAACTCACAAGTATCACACATAAGTTTTTATTTATTTACATTTTCATACAATGGCTGATGAAAACTATTCAATAGAATAAACGAAGAGTGTTTCGTATGCCTATAATTTAGCAACGAAACATCTTTCACACTCCTCTGAGATCCTCTACCCCAACATTCTCGATCATGAATGCCAAAATTGAGTCTAAATCGTTTCTATCCAAATACCAGAGTACACTTTATCATATTCTAGTTCAGTATTCTAAGTGTTTGAAAAAAAAATATTACATTAGTACTCCAGAAACATTACATCAGTACTCCGGAAACATTGGGAGCACGTGTCAAACTTGCCCCCATCATTCTGTTTGACACGTGGCACTACGCAATCGACGCGGAAGCCCTTCTTTGTCTGCGTCTCTCTGCGCCGCACGAGTTTGATCCCGCTTCATCCGCCGGTCTTGACCAGCGAGGAAGGCAACGATTAAATCCTGACGCACAAAGACCTTCGGAAATCCCATCTTCTTACACCTTCGTCTCCCTACCGCTCTCTCCTCGCCGACGTTCCAGAGCAGCGCCACACTCCTTCCTCTTCCCCACTGTTCCTAGCCGAAACCATGGACGCAGATGTAGAAAGCCCGTCCCGAGCCGATCCTCTCTCCCTGCGGCGTCTATCCAAGTCGCGATCCCTTCCCCCGAAGCCTTCGCACGATCGATCCTGCTCTAAACTGTGCGATCAATCCTATCGGCCACGCCACCTAATCCCCGATCTATGTTGTCCCCCGCACTGCCTTCCTGCCTCGCAACGACCCGCTCCTCTCTGCGCAGAAGCCGCACTTTCTTGTGTCAGAACCCTCGCGCGATCTTCTTTCTTCCTTCCCAGCGAGCCGTGATCGCGTCGTTGCCTTCCCAGCAAGCCGCCATTTGCTTTGAAGGTATTGGTTAGGACTCGGGATGGGATCTTGTAGCTGAAATGTTGCTCGATTCTTTTTATATTTTTTTTTATTGAATATTTAGAGAAGCTACATTCAAACCAGTAACAAAAAAACTTCCACTGACCAAAAAGAACAACAAAAATCCCCCAATTCCTTGGGCTTTCTTTAGCTCACTCAATTCCTTTTACATAAATTTCACCTTTTTTTTCATATCATAAACAAACATCTTATGTCTGTATACTAGAATAAAGATTAAACTACAATAGAATTACACCACCTGCTGA